GGCCGGCGCTCGGCTGGAAGTGCAGCTCGGAACTCGGCCCGGTTCGGCTCGGCCGCCCGGACGCTATCATAGCATTCTATTTTAAACACCGAAGGAGAATGAACGGCAGCGGGGAACTTGTATGATATGAAAAGCGGTATAAATAGCAACACATTTCTTTAAATATGGGTGTCAGACCTTTGAAACCTCCCCCCTGCTGAAATAATATAATGCAAGGCTTGATCATTACAGACGTATCATCTGCTTCCACGATCCGTGCCGGAACTTTTTTTTTTGTTGTTCTTACACAACCAACTTTAAAAAAACCTTGCAAAAAAAAGGAAAAAAAAAAAAAGAGTTTATGACAGAATGACAAGTCTTGGACGGCGGGAGCTTCGTTCTTGGTGCAGGTTGCAGGTCCTGCAGAAGCAGTATCATAGAGAAGATGTCTAACACGCGGAGCAAACCACCTCCACCGAGGAGGGCAGGAAGCCGCGCAGGTTCTGCAGCTGCATGAGGCAGCCAGTGACATCCGTGCACGGTGTGAATTTTGGACGTCGGAGTACGAGCCGCCGTAGGTGCAGCAGACCGCTAGCAGCCAGGTCCCGGCCCAGGGCCGGGAAGTAGAAGGCAACATCCTCTTCGTCGTCACTGGTGCAGTACACCTGTAGCTGCTGCAGTGACGAGGCGTGCGCACGGATCAGGGAGAGCATGGTGGGCTTGTTGGCAGTGCCTAGGGCCACGTATAGCCAGCGCAATGTCCCGTACTGCGAGGGAGTGAACGTTACATTGGGACCAAGGTAACCCCACACCGTTAGGCTGTGCAGAGCGGGCATGCGCTGTACACTGCGCAGCTGTCGCTCGCTTGGAGTTTCTATTCTAAGCTCTTCCAGCTGCAATGGCAGGTCCGGGTAGTCGTCACACTTTTCATCGCTTTCGACGTCTAGCCGTTTGAGTGACGACAGTTTGAGCACCTCCTCCATGACCTTCGGTTCTACCGGACCGGAGCACACGAGCTCCTCGAGGTGCACCGGGTGCGACGCCAGGACACGCAGTAGTTTATCCGAGCCCGTGCCCTTCAACCCCTTTATGCAGCGAGTATCTTTCCATCGCTGTTTGTCGCGTACGATGTCATTCACCTTTAAATCATTTTCAGAGAGATCTTTGTCTGTTATGGTCAGGGTGGTTGTCATAGGCGGCCCCACGTAAGCGGCTGGGGACGAGAGGGCAGCGACGTCGTCAAACTGGTGTGGAAGACATTGCAAATAAACCACAGACCGAGCACCACGCTGACAAGGGAACCCCACCAAGTGTAAATTCCCGATTTTCATTCTACTTTGGGTAATTGTTGGTCTACATGTGTCATCGAAGGACACATCAAAAATTTTTGCTCAAATTCATATTTAGGGGTTATTTTGGGCATTCGTTCCAAAAGCTGCTATTTCAACAATTTTTTCTAATTTTCAAGAATGTTTCCTAAGGGGTAACTCGTCAAATTGCGGCCCTCCGGGCGAAAATTTCGTCCGTTTTGCTCTATCTGAAGCCGTTTAGGCGCTACCGCCACGTTTAGGAGGGGAAATGTAAGTGAATCTAGGGCTTAAGAGCAGCAGTTGTAAAAAGCTTCAGATAGAGCAAAACAGACGAAATTTTCGCCCGTACAGCCGCAATTTGACGAGTTACCCCTTAGGAAACATTCTTGAAAATTAGAACAAATTGTTGAAATAGCAGCTTTTGAAACGAATGCCCAAAATAACCCCTAAATATGAATTTGAGCAAAAAATTTTGATGTGTCCTTTGATGACACATGTAGACCAACAATTACCCAAAGTAAAATGAAAATCGGGAATTTACACTTGGCAGGGTTCCCTTGTGAGACCAACAGAGATGGCCGTCCTGGCTGGTGGCTTACCTTGGCCAGCTGGCCGTCTGCGAGTAGCTGCAGCAAAAGAAGGCGGAAGACGTCGCCCAACCCGCCGAGCTGCACATCGGCC